GGGGGGGTTGTCAGTACACAGAGAACACTTACCAGGAAAACAGAGCATTCATGCAGGGTATTACTATTCATGAAGCATGACGGTGAGAGGGAGACTGCCTGCATGCTTGTTCACATGCGCGTGGTCAGTCTCCAAGCATTTACTCTGCAAGCTGTACTTGTGTTTCTCCTGCTGGGTGCTGAGGCTTCCAGCACTGATGGGCCTGGATAAACTCCCCAGAGCGTTGGACCTGTGCAGTATTTATGAGGCCTGGCTATGTTTAATTCATCCCCACTGATCTCAGGTCTATGCTCAACCTGTGCTCACACATTGTTCTTGTATGCATGATGGGTAGGAACAAGAATACGTACACCTTTAAAAAGAAGCTGTTTCCACTAGCAGTTTCTTCTTCTAGGCCTGCGTTGTCATGTTGACGTGACTGGCACAACATCACTCGAAATGAAGGACGATTTGTTTTTCTTGCAATTTCTGATCCAGTGATGTAGGATGAAAATAAAATGTATTTAAAGTTATAAATCCTTTTTCGCCTTATGACTGCTATCTTTGCAGATTTGAAGCGTCTCACACACACACGCCCACACTGTTGAGGCCTCTACAGTGCCAGTATTTGGTCATGTTCAGGTGGTGGGGTTTGGCATGGCTCAGAGCCTGTCGCTGTGAATGGAGCCCAGAGCAGCACACAGAGTATTCCAGCTCCACCCTCCAGCCCAGATTGGGCCCTCCTCTCCAGTCCAGGCTATGGTGGAGGCTGGGTGTGCTGGCTTGAGCTGCTGGAGTTGCTGGAGCTCGTGATTGGGACGGAGCCAGCCAGGCAGAGCCAGCCAGGCAGAGCCAGCGAGTCACACCATCCCTGTGCTGGCAGAGCCTGTCCTCCATCTCATTATAACCTGCAGCTATAGGAAATGATGAGCAACCTGTTCATGTGAGGGGAGGGAGTGTATGCGTGTACGCTTGTGTGTGTATTTGCATCCAAGCATGTGTTTGTTTTTTGTTTTTTTAAAATCAGACTGCTCCCCACTGTAATCATATGTAAATCTTGGCATTTGTTGTCCACTCATTATGCATTGTGTGTGTGTGTGTGCGTGTGTGCACATGCGTTTTGGCTTGACCCGACAGTGTGACAGCGGTGAGAGGATGAAGATTGATCACCTAAGAACACCCCAGGGCTTGGATGACTGGCAGAGACAGAGAGAGATAGAAACAGACGAGGGGAGGGGGGGCGGTTATATAGCAAAGAAATATAAGTCAGGAGAGTGGGAGGTGAGAGGGCGGGGGAATGTGGAAAGGAATGGTTTACGGTAGAGGAGGGAGAGATAAAGAAGGAGAGAGAGGGAGAGAAATGGAGAGAGGTGGTGATTGAAGGAGATTGTTTTGGGGAGTGTGTGTGAGAGATAGAAAGGCAGAAGAGGGAGATTGAGGCCCGCAGAACATGGATACATTTACCCGTGTGAGATAAATGACTATAGATGGCTGGTGCCGCTGCGTGTGCGTGTGAATGAGAAACACAGAGACAGAATACATTTCTCTGTGTGAATGCGACCGCA